GCATGTGCTGAGAATATGTAGGGATATTTGTTTGTGTTTCATCCCCTAGCTGTAAACATAGAAAACTAAAGGTGTGGTTAGGGGTGAGAATCTCGGGTCACCCTGAGATCCATGTAGTGCCGGTTGATCTTTAATGTTACTACAGTGCATCTACAACAGCATTTGCCGCGTGTCAGGCCATTGGATTCGGAGCTGCCTCTCAAATCGTTCATTACCTTCCCGTGTTCGTTTTTGTGCACGTCATCTCTTCTAAGGCCACTCGATTTGGTCTTCTTTTTTGATGGATACCACTCATTGATACGCGACTTTTGCTTGTTTCCATCAAAGCATTTAAAATATCTCGTCCATTAAATTTTAGTTTCTGCACACTCGCAACGATAGGTTTTATGCTAATTAGCTGATGGGGCCTGTCATTTGTTTATGTAATTAAAAAGAGACATTTTATTGTTTGAGCTGCTATTCTTTCCAACACAGCTAGTACTTGCTCTTCTGCTTTCGTTTTTCATCAGCGATCTCGCCTCACCTCTTTTGCGTCATTGTTCGAAATAACATACTGTTGCTGCCCGTACAGAGTAACATACTGAAAAGATTTTGACTTGTTCTGGCGTATTTTTTCGCTGCTCCCTATTCGCAAGCCTCATTCTGCATAATGAATTATCACTGTTGGGAGCAAGAGATCTTACTCTCTCCTTCGAGGATGTTCCAGCGCAGAACCCGGATCCGGAGCTTAGATCGACTGGAGAAGTTTAGGCCAGGCTATCGACAGAACTGTGCGGCCGACACGAGGAGGCGACATCTTCTCAAGGAGCAGCTTCGACAAGCAGCTTCGACAATGGCTCGGAGGAACGTGAAGTGTGAAGGCCTTGCAGCCGTACTGTCCGTGGAACCCCGGTCAGCACCAACCGGGGAACCGTAGACTCGGAGCTCCATAACTACAAGTGTTGGTATTGCTGTCGTACTAATAAAATCGAACTCGACGTGTTTTGCAAAGAACACAACAGTCACCTGAGCTACTAGGCTGTTTAGCAGTTCTAAAGATAAGCTGCTAGTGATATTTTAGCATTTCAGCTATGAAGAACTCCAATCCGCCTTTTTCCAGCTAGAACTGAACAGTAAAGTGGAAGAGCTGAAACGTTATAGTGCGATGATTGGACGACAAATGAGCAGGCTGGAGAAGTTGGTGGCCAGGAACAAGAGCTTCAGGGAAAGTGCAAAAGCAACAGAATTGCTGGATGAGAGTTTGGCTCTGAATGCTGCAACTATTGCCGTGTTGCACAACATCAATGCCTGTATATGCATACTTTCAAAACAGGTATTTTTTATGCGTTTTTTGCAGCTATACAATGCAGAAAACGCATATTGACGAGAGGTTGTCTGTGTGTGTATCTGTGTGTGCTGGGCCTCTGTACCGATTTTTCATCTCGAGACCTACAAAAGCTACAAGGCTAAAATTTTAGGACCTTAATCTACATGCATGTACGGACCTCCATCCCCAAAATGGGCGGTCTTACCCGCGTGGTACCTACGTACGAGCCTGTGAAAGTTTTCCAGTAAATTGCTAACTCAGGAGCCAGGAAAGCTAGAAAGCTGAATTTTTTTTTTCCTGACGGTTCTGGTGGCCTGTCTTAATTTGTTTAGCTAGAAGCATTTGCCGAAAAAACCGATGCCGGTAGCGATAAAAACTGCGGAGAACTATGCAAAAAACGCGTCTTCGCACAGGCACCCCGTGCATTGGCCAGTTATTTATTTTTCTCTCTGCACAATGATGGTTGCTTTGATGTACTACGATCAAGTGACAGTTCGTGCAGGTATCTTCAAAGTGCGTGGGAGCTCTGAACGAAGGCTAAGCTTTTTAGTGCAGGGTGGCTTTGCTTGAACAGGTTTATACTACTGGCGGATGTAGCTCTTGTAAGTAAATTTATAAAAACTTTACGAATGGCAGCAGCAGTAGCGAGGGGGAGGTGAAAAGATAACAAAAAATTTTAATATTGAAAAGAAGAAATTAATAGGAAATTTTAAATGTATTGAAAATTATTTTTAATAGTAAGAAATCTTTCGGTCCGTTAAGAGTCGTATACATTTCTTACCAGTACCACAATTCGACCTTGTCACTACGGCGATTGTGATAATTAGTATGAATTTAATTTTAATCTAAAAAAATGTTATTGAAAAGGGATAGATAAGCCAGTTAGGACGAAGCACTGAAATTTGTTGAAGTACTGTTTTATTTTGGTCATCATAGTATGTGATCGTAATATCGAGATCATGATCCAAAAACGGAAAATACTGATTAGTAGTCAGGTTTCTGTACGAAATTATGATCAGCCTAAAAAGCTTGAAGTTTTGATATTTTAGGAGATGGGAAAGACATTATCGTGTAAGACAACGACAAGTGATTTTTTACAATAAGAAATTTTTGACTGTCATTTTTTCTGCAAAAGAAAATAAGTCTCTGAGTATGGGAACACAGCACTAAAACAGATCTTTGGTCAACATATCGCATTATCACTGATTGCTTCATTTTTATCCTGTATATTTTAGTGTATGTTTTATACTGGCAGCAGATTGCATAGAGATGGTTTTGATTTGGAAGAAGTTGAGAAAAAAAAATGTCTTTCTTGTCCAGGAAGTAAATATGTACTCCACAGTTCCCACGTAATGGAACTGTTGGTTGGCGCTAATTCTAGAACACACTGACGAAGACCTCAGAGTGCCGAAACGGACCTCTTCAGTGCCATTTTACTGAAAGCAAACACGGATTCGAGTAGCGCACACTGACGAAAGTGGTCGATATTGATTATGGTGGAGAACCGAAGAGGAGAAAATGCTTGGAGTGGATCTCTGCTTGACCTCGGCTTTGGCTAACATGGAAGCCTCAAACCGGCGCCTTTCGCCTCATCCGTTACCAGCATTCTCTGTTCCATGTCTAAGTACTCCGTGATCGAAGCGGCGCGTTATTGCCATTACAAGAGGGATGGAAGGGAAGACGAAGAAAACAAGAAGTGAAAGAGATAGTGGAGAACATATGTTGTAAAAAAGTGTTCAGGAGATGAAA